GAGACCCAAGTAAAAGCCAGGGAGAAATTGGAAAGATCCGTGTATTTGGGTAAGAGATACTAGCAGCTGTAACCAACATTCCAAAATTTGAAATTTTTGAAATTAGCGGGGCGTGGTGGCACGCGCCTGTAGTCCCAGCTGCTCGGGAGCTTAACTCAGTGCAGTTTAATTCATGAGTACCTCACAGTCTAGTGCTGGTTGAGGGGGACAGGAGTGCTGGTGTTTCTGCTCCATGTGGTCTTTCAGGGACCCAGGCAAATTCCATCCAGTGACTCCACTATCCCCAGGAAGTAGGAGTTCTTCACTGGATCTCTGGGCCCACAGTCCAGGGAAGAAAGCAGTCATTAAGCATGGTTCCAGAGGCTTCAGGATCTGAATGAAAGTAGTGTATACCCACTTCCATCTGTTTGGTTAGAACTCAGTCATCAGGCCCCACCTAACTACAAGGGATGCTGGGAAATGCATTCCAGCTGTGTGTTCAGGAGAAAGAAATGGATTTGATGAACGTTTAGCCAGTCTCTGCCACACACTGACCACATTTTCTTGTATTATTACGGAGGACAAATGCTTACCATACATAAACTGCCCAGAGGTGCTGATAATCTGAGAACCTGTCTCCAACAAGTCCCCTGGGAAGGGCAGCATTCAGAGACAGTCATGCTGGTTTGGAACAATTTATCTACATACTTGTTTAAATATATTTTAAAAATTAGCCTGCACTCTGAATCTGCTTCCCACATGTTGTGTGCCATTTAGGCATTTTGGTGTTCTAAAATTACAGATCTATCTCAGAGTGAGTAAGTTTAGGAATACATACTTAAGAAGTGTTGCATGCAATGACATTTTCCTTCCCAAAGTGATCTACAGGAACTCATATTTATTTTGCTATTTTATAAACTCAGAAGTTGTACACAATATTGAGTAGAATTCTTTATCCGTGATGGCAGATAGAACATCTGTTGAAATACTACCACTGTTATTTATTTCGAATTGCACATTTTACAATGAACTATACCAGAAGCATTTTCAATTTTTTAACACCTTTAATAGATCTAAGCCCACCTTTTTTTGAAAGTTATTCATTTTAAATCATGATTATATGAATATTTTAGGATTATAATCACCCTAAAATGAAGGACAAAATTTATCATACTAAAATAGAAATTTAATTTAAAGTACAAAGAACTTGATTGCAAGGTTTAGTAGATTAGAAACAAGACATCAAAGAGGATATTAAAAAACACTTTTTAAAACACCCTCAGCAGTATAGTTTTACAGTAGTTTTCAAAAAAATACAACAGCATTTATTAATGTTTGTGAAGATCATATTATAGACAAATCAAAGATCAAACTTTTGTAAGGTTCAAAAAACACATATAAGCAAATTTTGGTCATTTCCTGGAAAAAACTAACTTTAAATATATTCATCCAGGCCAGGCATGGTGGCTCATGCCTGTAGTCCCAGCACTTTGGGAGACAAAGGCAGGCGGATTGCTTGAGTCCAAGAGTTTGAGACCAGCCTGGCAGCACGGTGAGACACTGTCTCTACAAAAATTAGCCCAACATAATGACACCTGCCTGTAGTCTCAGCTACCTGGGAGGCCTGAGGTGGGAGGATGGCTTGAGCTTGGGAGGTTGAGGCTGCAAAGAGCAGAGATCATGCCACTGCAATGCAGCCTGAGCAACAGAGTGAGACCCTGTCTCAAAAAAGTAAAGAATAGGGCTGGGTATGGTGACTCATGCCTGTAATCCTGGCACTTTGGGAGGCTGAGGCAGGTGGATCACAAGTTCAGGAGATCCACACCATCCTGGCTAACACGACGAAACCCCGCCTCTACTAAAAATACGAAAAATTAGCCAGGCATTGTAGTGGGCACCTGTAGTCCCAAGTGCTTGGGAGGTTGAGGCAGGAGAATCGCTTGAACCCGGGAGGTGGAGGTTGCAGTGAGCCGAGATCACACCACTGCACTCCAGCCTGGTGACAGAGTGAGACTCCATCTCAAAAATAAATAAATAAACGAATAAATAATAAAACACAAATTTTCATTCAGTATCATACAGTTAGTGATGTTTGTTTGAGATGGAAGCTGCTCTTGGCCGTATTGTGATCCAGGGGCCTTGGGCAAAAGTCAGACTGGTCTACAGACATGTGTAATTAAAAATACTCCTCTCACTTTTCTTGGTACTCCATGGCATTTCCCACTACCTGTCACTTTGTCCTTGACAATATATGAGGCAGAAAACAAGTTGCGTGGACCAGGTTGGTTTTCCAGTCAGCTGTTCCTTATTTTTCTCTGGTGCTTCTTTGTTATATTAGACTTCAAATTTACTATTCATGAAACACATTTTAATCAGTGACCATATCAGACAAATGGAAGCTAAGCGCTGGTTAGTATGTTGAAAATAAACATGAGGGCTCTCATTAATGTCGCTGTCTGAGTAATTAGTTGAGCATCCAGTCCTGAGCAGCCGTGAAAGCAGACCGGCTTCTCACTGGAACGACAGGCTGACAGCCCCGTCTTGGAGAATGGTCATTAGTGTGCCCTGCCATCAATGTCATGTTACTGTGTCAAATTAGTTAGTGTCCCCTTAGGAGAGAAGCCGGACCTACAAATTATCCTCCCACATCCCTTGGAAACTGTGTTTGCCAAACCTGCGATCGAGTGTGAGCAAATTATTAACATGGCTCATAAATTAACTAGTTTACAGGCTTATAACATTTTACAAGTAGATAATAAAGGGGAGAAAAGTTTTCCAATTGCATTGCCCTGACGTGAGGCTGTGATCTGCCGACTTTTCCTTAAGGAGTCCACAGCTCATAGTTTTTCGTTAAGAGACCAAACACATGGGGTGTCAGAACAAATGTTTGGAAATGTAGAATCTAAAAGGCAGCCAGTGTAAATCCATTGAAAACAATATAATTAACTTCATTATCTCATTGCTCTGATAAGTCGATGACAATGGTCGTCTTTCTTTTAGTGGCAGTTGCTCATTAATGAGTTCACCAATTAAGTTTGAACGATTACAGCCTTTACCAACTGAAATTATCTTAAAAACATTTTTGATGCATTCTTATCATACTCTTAAGCTCCCTTGCTCAAGAGGGAAAATGCCCACACAGCACATTAAACTCACACAAGAATGAAGATTCTGAAGTCATGATATATTTGGCAGTTCATGCACAGTAGACACCAGATACCTAGAAAACATAGTGTGGACAAATCTGGCCTGAGTTTATCTCATATCTAGAAGAGACACCCACTGGGAACACCATCTCTTAACTCTCTTCTGAGTTCTGGTAGGCAGACAACCCACATAGTTTCCGGAGACAGGTGACTATTCAAATCGTAAAACTTCATGCATCTCCTTTTTAGTTTCAACTTCTCCATCTGAGTAGGTTAAAAACATCTAAATTCACAAAGTGTTGCCTGCATTTACTATTGAAAGAGAACACTGCACACAGACACACATGTACGTGCCCCGAAAGCTCAGGCTTTCTACCCATTCTGTAGTTCCATTTTTTTCTGTATTAGTGAGAGTCCTTTATTTAATCTTGAAGGCCATATACATGGCATTATTATCTCAAGGATCTATGCAAAAAAGACCTGGCATGTGAAACCTTGCTACTGACAGCTATTCACGAAAACTTTCTGAAAGTGCTTGAGGATGAGTTGACTTATCTGTCAGCAACTTCAACTTACTTGGAATTGGATTTGGTAAATATTCTACTAATAACCTAACCAAGCGATGAAAGCTTTGCAGTCTCAGCACATGAACAGAGTGACTGTTTCCATGAGAAGGCTGTGTCACAATCTCCTTCTGCATTTGAAATGCAACTGAAAAAAAAGAGTTGCTAACTGTGGCAAGTAAGATTTTCTGTTTGGCTGGCAGGAGAGAGCTTGTATGTTTTGCTAGCGGGGTGCCTGTGTCCATGTATGTACTTATTTCCTCCTGTCTCTTCTACTGGGTGCATTGAGACAGGCTGAAAGATCAAAACTCATAGCAAAATCATCATTTGGACCTATGAATCATCTTTTTCTTATTTCTCAGGATGTGTTAGCACTGTAATTATGAGAATTTATCTTCAGAAATAAGAAATTATAAGCCAAGCATGGTGGCTCATGCCTGTAATCCCAACACTTTGGGAGGCCAAGACGGGTGGATCATTTGAGGTCAGGAGTTTGAGACCAGCCTGGCCAACATGGTGAAACCCTGTCTCTACTAAAAGTACAAAAATTAGCCAGACATGATGGTGGACACCTGTAATCCCAGCTACTCGGGAGGCTGTGGCAGGAGAATCTCTTGAACCTGGGAGGTGGAGGTTGCAGTGAGCCGAGATTGTGCCACTGCACTCCTCTAGCCTTGGCGATAGAGCAAGACTCTATCTGGAAAAAAAAAATAGAAAGAAAGAAAATTTACTAGGAGTGGCACACACCTGTAATTGCAGCATTTTGTAGGCTGAGGTAGGAGTATCACTTGAGCTCAGGAGTTTGAGACTAGCCGGCCTACTAAAATTTAGCCTATCTACTAAAATTCCAAAATTATTTGGGCATGGTGGTGCACACCTGTAGTTCAAGTTACTTGGGAGCACTTGAGTCTGGGAAGTTGAGGCTGCAGTGAGCCCTGAATGTGCCACTGCACTCCAGCCTGGATGACAGAGCGAGACCCTGTCTCAGAAAAAAGAAAAGAAAAGAAATAGAAATTACGGTATGGAAGATAAAGGAACTTAACTTCCTAAGTGGATGTCATTGCCTTCAAGAGTGACAGGTTTACTCACCTACATAACATTTTGCATCCTCCTCCTGTAATTCAGATTGTGAGCTAGGTCGAATGCCAATTCTAGAAGGCAAAGGATAAAATAAATGCTTAGATATGTGATTGTATACTGAAGATAAATGTGGTGTGTAAATGAGGGATACCAAAGGCTCGTGTGTCTATGTTGCTTTTGAAGCATCACCATTTGCCCCTTCACTTAACCTCTTCTTTTCTTTTGCTTTCAGCTTCCCTCTGTGTATTGCAGTCCTGTGGCATTATGCATGCCCCCTCCCAGTGACCCCAGGCTTTTTATGGCTGTGAGACACGTTAAATTTTCAGGGTAAGTGACAGACACCACTGATGCTGTATACCACCTAAAAATTGCCATCTACCTTCGCAGGGGACCCAGCAGTCGATATAGTAATCCTGCAGAAGATAATGGCCTTTCTAATTATCAGGCCCTGATTCTGAAGCTAGCAGGCATTTGAATGCTGCTACCCCCCATGATAGCTTTATGGTTTTCAAGAATAGGGTTCATAACTTGGATCATATTTGTGGGAAGGGGACCTAATGCAGGGGTTGGTTAAATTTGTAAGAGACCAGATAGCAAATATTGTCATCCTCATGAGCCATACAGTCTTTTCCAACTAGCCAACTCTGCCTTTAGAGCACAAAAGCAGCTATAGATAATATACAAGCAAATGGGTGTCACTCTGCTCCAGAGAGACTTCATTTACAAAAACGGACAGTAAGCCATATTTGGCCTGAAGACTATAGTAGGCTGTCCCTTGATCTGATGCATCAAAAAGGGACATTTGACCTGTAAACCTGACACCTCGCTGGGTACCACTCCATCTGACCTTGAGCAAACCATTTATCTGTGAGAAACAGGAATAAAAAAAAATACCTGCCCTTACTACCTTGAAAGATGGTGTTGTAAGGATGAAACAAGATATAATGCACGTGAAAGCACTTTGAAAATTGCAAAACTCCTTACGAATGTGATGATCGGCTCTACAGTCATTCCGGTTCACCTTGTGGAGTATGACTTCTTCACCTTTTTAATCACATTGGGCTTTCATGAGCGAAATGAGTGTGGGGGAAAGCTCTCTTATTTTCTGAGTAATGTGGTTTGTCTGTACATTCCTTCTATTTTACAATTGATGGATAAGCTGTTGAAATGTCTTTTTTTTTTTAGTATCAAATATGGATGAAGGGATATACGGGTAGATTATGGTAGGCTAAAGATCAAATGCCAATGAAGAGCGATTAAATTTCCTTTAATCATCAGAATCTGAGAGTGCTGTAAGATCTCACCTTTAATATAGGCCTTAATAAATAATAATGCTTGGGATGCCTACAAGTATGTTTGAATTTCACAAGTCTTGCATGTCAAAACAGAGAGACAGGCTCAGCAAATATGCTTCCCTGGGCTAGCAATACTAATTAAGAAGGAAAGTCATACTTAAACAAACAGCTTTGGGAATAGAGGGTTAATCAGAATCCCAATTCATGAATTTTCTAGTTTTTTTTTTTCCCTCAGAGAAAATTGTAGTGTCATCTTTAGATATGTTTTCATATCATTATATTAGTTAAGAATTGTTTTCTAATAAGAGAGATATAACTACATGAGTAGAAACAATTATTTAAGTATTCTGTCATAAGAACATCCAGGAGGAGCAGTTTGTGTCTTCTTTCTGCTCTGCTTATTCAAGTGTGTTCCTTCGTCTTCAAGGTCACAGGGTGGCTGCTGGCTCTCAGGCCATTGCCTCTACATCCTGAAAGGAAGAGACAAAGAGTAGTTTTCCCGGCTGAGGCAGGCCTTTTTAAAGTACTTTCCCTGCAGCCTTATCCAATGATGCCTGCTTATATCCTATTAGCCACCCCTAACTATAAGGGTATCTGGGAAATGCAATCCTTAGACTTGAACAATTTGATGTCCCAGGTAAATTCTGTGTTCTAGTACTAAGAAAAGGTGACTGCTTACTGAGCAACCATTGTGGTTACTTATACGAAATCATGCTGTCAATTTTGCTTACATCTTTAATTTCTATTTATTTTCTATGAATGCCTTTTGTTGACTGTGCCTTGTTTGAATTTTACATGTTAGAATTTTAGCCTGTTTAATTCTCAGCAGAGATACAGCTCAGTAAATATTTTAGGACCATAATATTCTTACTGAACGCGCCATGGCAAATCTGAGAAATAAATTTCTTTATTAAGAGAGCTATAAAGCAAAATTTAAACTCTTGAATATGCTCGTCTAGTGGGTTTTCCTTCCTGTGGATGTAAGATTTCCTTAAGGCTTGAGTATTAGCATGAGATCTTAGCGGCGTGCACTCACAACCAATTCTGTTCCCCCTATAAGGGCAGGAGACATTGCTGACAGCTTTCCACTGTCCCTCTGTACTTATGCAGACTCAAGGCCAGGACAGAACTCTCCACCCTACATTTCTGTGATTCGTTGCTCCCTGTATCTGTGCTGAAAGGTTACCATGGGAGTGGGGTGCACGGGAGAAGTAAGCCACTCCTGTCCAAATTTTCTGTCCCAAATTGGCCTGTACATGATTCTTTTGAAACTTTTTATCCCATAAAATGAATAGAATGAGACTTCCCTATGCTTTGTATTAATAATACATTCTCTGCCTATATTGGCCTGTGATGAGTAGTCATAAAACTTAGGGTAATGGATGCATTCACAGACACTCATTGAATGCCTGCTGTGGATACAGGGTAACAGCATGGTTAAGAGTTTCTGCTTTGAAATTAGATCGGCTTAGACTCAGATTCCACCTTTTCCACTTCCTGGCTGAACAACCCTGGGCAAGTTACTTAACCTTTCTGTGCCATGGCCTCCTTATCCGGAAAAGGGGATAAAAATAGAAGCCAACTCACAAAGAGTTAGAGAGGTGATGCTTGTAAAGAGCTTAGCACAGATCCTGGTACATCATAAATTCCAGCATTGTGCTAGGCACCCCAGGTGATACGGTGGAAATCTCTGTCTCTGACAAGCTTCTACCATCTGGTTGCTGGTTCACTGGTCGTCGTTTTACTGATAGATGATGCATGTTTCGCAGTCCATTGCGCCTCACCTGATATTCCCTTGTAAATGCAAGTAGAGCCTTGGGAGCTTGTCCTCATGCACATCTTCAAGGACACGTGCAGCTATGTATACAGCTGCTGTAGCCCTGTTAGCAGAGCTTAGGTCTCTGGGTCCTGTTTTGAGGATTTCCCCTGAGAAGCATGCAGTTCTTTTTTTATTCCTTTTTTTTTTTTTTTTAAGTTAGTCAGACGATGGGCCTGCCTCGCAAGCAGAATTCACTAACTGCTTTCAAGTTGGTATTGCTGATGATAATCTGAAACTGTAGGGTTTCGCTCGTGCAGGCTGATGCTACATGATGTCAATCTTCTGCCACCTCATCCCCCATCCCTGCCTCTGTGCTGACTCGGCAAAGCAGGTCCTGGTCCCCCACAGATCTTGAAAATGGCCCTCAAAGAACTGTGTCATCTGCACACAGAAGCTGCCACAGGTCCATGGCAAAGAATGTCAGCAGTACTCATGGATGACTCCATTGGTGACTTGTACCCAGATTGAAAAACAGTGCCAACCATGTGACCCTGGCTGTCCCTTGAGTTTTTGAGCCCTGTTCTGTGAGACGGATAAGAATCACACCACCTATAATAACAAACCTGCAGCGCTGATTCATTGACATTGACACCATATCACAGAATTGATGGTTTTGGGGGGACAGACCCCAGCCTATGGTAGTACTTATCAGGGATCTGCCTGACACAGGCTTTGCTTCCATCATGTTCACTGTGTGGAGATGGTGGCTAAAGATCTTGCATGTTCAAGAGACTCTTAGAAACTTTGAGCTTTTGCCACGTAGTTTCCAATATTTTATTTAAACCCCATTACTCTTCTCAGATGCCATAAAAACTCCCTTGCCTCCAAACTACGGGATACCTTCAGTCCTTCTCATCCCTTAGTGTTCAGTTCAAAAATCAACCCCTTGGACATGCCTTTGCTGACCACCCACATGAAAGGGGACATGCCCTTTATTATTTTTCTTGATCCAAACCTCTTGTTTGTTCCATATGTTACAGCCCTGTCCCTTCATGAATTCACCTGTTTATCAGGTAATAAGCAAGAAGTAGGTCTTATTCAGTGTGGCTTCTCCATGGCTAGCAGTGCCTAACATGTGGTAGGTATGCATGTTGTCAGTATTTGTTGAATCAGTCAAAGTCTGGGGATTTCCCTGTGAATTTCTGTATTTTTATGGCACCTACGAGGACTGTATCCAGTTGAGGGAGTAAGAGAAGGAACAAAGTTACACACATCACCTTTATTGTAGGAATAGAATACAGATCTTGGATTTTCTCTGGAAAGTTCCCACTATGTACTGCATACTCTGCGTGTCCCATCCAGAAGGGGTTATACATTATCTTCCCCATGAAGACAGAATCATTTGCCATTTGAGCCTGAAGGATATGGTGGGTGGTACAAATTGATTAAGGATGTTGGGATCCAAGCCCAAACCCCAACACTCTCATTCATTGGCTCTTTTTTTGGACAGATTATTTTCTCTCTCTAAGACTCAGTTTACTTCCCTAGGGCAGGGGTAATAGCATCACCTAGCCACTGAGCTATTGTGAGGATTAAATTAGATGGTATGTAGAAAGCACTTTGCACAGGGTCTGGATGAGAATAACAGTGCTGTTGATTTAAGGGTGTCCGCAAAGGCTCTGGGGACCTCCACTGATAAAACTCATCTTGTGATTTCTTGTGATGTTCATTTTAGAGGTGACAAAGATGGCAAAGAACCTTGATTCCCGATTATATTTGCTCATGTTTCATGTGCTGAATTAACTTTTAAAAGTACAAAATAAGCAAGCAGTGAGATAGTCTGTTTTATATTTGTTGTTGACACGTTGACTGTTGGATATTCGTAACCTGTCTCAGGTAACATGCTAGAAACCTCAAGCGCTGCAGTGACTCAGTGTTTGGAGCCTGACCCATATCCAGAAAACCATGGAAATTGAGAGTTTGGGGTGCTGCAGTGTCTGTATGCCTTCTTGCTGGGGATATGTTTTGCCTTTAAGTTAATCAGAGCTGGCCTTGCAATAGAGGGCATCTTAAATTTCCTGTAAATTCTCTTCTCTCTCTCTCTTATTTTTTTTATTTTTATTTTTTTCTGGAGTTGGAGTCTTGCTGTGTCACCCAGGCTGGAGTGCAGTGGTGCCATCTCAGCTCACCACGACCTCCGCTCCTGGCTTCAAGCGATTCGGCTGCCTCAGCCTCCCTAGTAGCTGGGACTACAGGCCCAGCTAGTTTTTGTA